TAAAGAATAAATTAATAAATTATTAATAAATGAAAAAGAACAAAGTACAGAAGATGATTATTACAATGATGTAAGTAGTTCATAAAGAAAGTTTGTTCTCCTAATGAATGGACTTCTCTTTATTCAAAAAAGTCCTTCTCAGTTAGATTCATTCCAGATGGATTTACTTATCAAGATTACAAAATGGCATGGTATCATGTTTATTTTAGTTTGGAATAATTTCATTTTAGATGCTGATACTAATCCATTTTTCTTAACTACTTTTAAAAATATATTTAGATGTTTAAAATGTTGTTCTAATGATTCTGAAAATATTAACACATCATCAATATAGACTATACTAAATGAACTATAAGGGTTGAATATATCATTCATTATTTTTGAAATTCTGAAGGTGCATTTTTTAATCATTTTTTGGGTTAAAGCGATACATGGTCAAATCGGGATTTTGATTGGGTCTTTAACATTCCGAGTTTTACCATGAACTCAAACCGGAGGTTCGGCCAATTCGCAGTTCAACCGATCTATTTAATCCGTTTGAGTTTAAGAATATATGGTAACACCCAACCAATTAATATCCCTAGTTTTTACTTAATCTCATTTGTACATCCTCCTTTGTCGCTACGTGAACATAATTAATATTTGTGCTTTTGGTTTTTATATTATTTTTCCTTTTTTGGTAAGAATTATTCTCTTTCCTTTATGACTCCCTTGTTTTCGTTAAATTTAATCAATATTTTCCTACTCTTTATTCATAAGTAGTTGGATATGAATGAAACATTTCTTGATTTTTTTGAATTATTCAACCATTCAAGCCACAATTTTTCTTTTTTACATTCTCACGAATCACATAATATCTTATAATTCCTTTATCTATTTGTGATTAGAAATTATTTTAACCATTTTATACATTTTTCTTTCTCTACTCCTATTGTTTGGCTCAATTTAACTATTACTTCTAAATCTTCAACTATTTTTATTAGTTGTTAAATTAGTCATTTGTTTCTTAATGATTTTTTAATAATTTTTTTTGTATTTGATTCCATTCTTTTGCAATTTGACTCCATTCTTTTTGCACCTCATTAGAGACCAAAGCACACCTATATATGCACTTGTTTGGACAATTTCTTGTTCATCTCAGTCCGTATCTTTTGATGATAACAAAACAAATGGATGACACTAATATTCCTCAAAATAGACATTTTCAGATTTGGAGCTAAACTGGCTAACAAATGTTGATGCATGTGTCGGACGCACAAAAAGTCTGCATCGGCCGTCCGACAACCTTCGAGCAACTTCGGACGCATAAGGAACACACTCTCGGATGTCCGAAGAAAATGAACCTAGCTCTCTAAACTCACTGACTTCATTCGGACGAATAATACCTGAGTACCGGACGTCCGACAAACGGTGCGACACTTCGGACGCAAAGTATTGAAGCACCGGACGTCCTAAACATTTCAAGAAAAACTTCTTGAACACACTACCTGCGATCGGACGCGGAAAACCTGCCTTCTGGACGTCCGACATCACAAACGGCTAGTTGACTTTTCATCTGCCTTCTATCCGTTGATAGCATTTATTGGAGTACTTTTTGGTCTCTTATAAATAGAAGAAGTCAACCACTTCAGAATCACTTTTGCACATTAAGACTACATTAGATCTTGAGTGATTCAAGTATGAGAATACTCCAAAAAGAAGATTTGTACTCTTAGTTGTGTAATTTTCAATAAGCTTTTCAAGTGTGTTTCAATTTCTTGAATAGTGTAGCTTTGTGAGGGTTATCCGAGTAACTATAAAACTTCCTTGCTTGATCAAGTGAGACTTGAGGCAAGGAGGAAGTGATCCTTCCTTTGTACACAAGAGATTGGTTGTAAGTTGATCAACTTGAAGAAACTTGCTATATAAAGTGATATTCAAACTCAAGTCGAGTTTGAAACTTGGTTTGCTATTCCATCTCTTTACTTACTGTCTTGCAATATAAACTGCTTATTTCTTCTACTCACAATCACTTCTGCTTATTCATTAATTGTTCCTTTGTGAGATCCTTTAGAAAAAAGGGCAAGTTCAAGAAAAAGTGACTCACATCTTGGTTAGTTTTTAAACCACCTAATTCACCCCTCCTCTTAGGTTGTCTTCGATCCTTACATTTCTTTATTAATTTTCCTTTTGAAATTGTTAAAATCATATAAGTCACTTATAAAATTATTTTGCTTTTCCAATTTCTTTTATTGTTTTAGCAAATAAAAAATTTCTCTATACATTATTCTGCTTTTGTTTAAGCTTTTATTCTTCAAGCAAATCAACTATAAGTGTATTTAGGTTCTATTATTGTTTCCTTTGATGTACAGATTCAAATATATTTTACTTTTAATTTTTTCAATATTACATACGTTCCAAAAAATTTAGAATATCCACCTTCTGAATTAAAATAATTAAATAAATTATGTAAAAAATAAAAGAAGACAGAAGACTTTATTTTATAATTAGTCAATGACAAATCCATTACATTCTAATGAATAATCCAATCTCCAATTTAGGAAACTAAGGGAAAATATGTTTTCTTTCCTCAATGGGTCTATTTTTATTCACATTACATAGTGTTGATTTGGGCAGCTTTTTTGTTCTTTTCTTTTATATTCTTTTCCTTATTAAATTCATCTTTGTAATATTTTTAATTAAACAGTAATTACATACTTATAGATTTCATAATATGCCTCCTCTCATACCCCTAATATACCTCCTCGTCTTATCTTTTTTTATTAAGTGTAAATGAGAGAGTTTAAATTCGAAACTTTTTACTTACGCTCATTTCCTCCGAATCACCCAATCCATCCCTTCCACCTTCTCCTCTTATCTTATATTTTAACTTGCCACCATAGGTCAATGTTTTTCTTATATTTGGTATCCCAATTTTTACAAAAAAATTGCCATTTTAATTCGTTTGTGTTCAACATTTATTTGAATGTTTACTTTTTGCAATAAAGAAATAGCCATGCAAATGGAATTGTCAATAATTAGTTTTTTTTAAAAAATTTTGTAACCTACCAAAAAAAAAAAGAACTTTTCCCTTATCCTCTACTTTTCCAGCAAAAATTTACTTACAAAATTGTAGAATAAAATTTGTCATTGAGCAATCGATAGACTAATTTGGACGGTCTTCCCTACAATATACATCGTATAGTCATGTAGTTTGTTCGGATTTTGTTTAAACTCATTTTTAACACATAGATTCCATTTGTCTTTCTCCTTTCATTTTTAACATATGGAATTTAAACCTACACGACCACATATCATGGCATTGTAACTAGTTTTTAATCAAATAAAAGGGTAATTATCTAAGGATACTATGGTTCAATTAACTTTGTTAAACTAGTATATTTCTAATTTTCTTGCTAAAGAAGTGATATATTTATAGGTAACAATCATTCACGAGATTAACAAAAATAAATTTTAATCCAAATTATCGAAAATATAGACACATTCTCATGTAAGTCCTTTTCTTTTATTAATTGATTAGAGATTGTAATCAAAATCTAAGTCTAAATCGTTTTCGTGACCAAAAACTCTTGCTTATTTGGCAAAACAAAAACATTCCCGCATGACTAACCTTGAACGCAATGTTTATAGATCACTAGGAGGTGCTCACCGCGCCTACGCGCTGTGTAAATTTCAAAGACTGACATGCCCAGTGTTGCTGAGTAAGCTAATAAGAAACTGTATTGTTGGATGTTTGAAACACAGGTCCATAGGAAACCTCCTCACTATTGCTCGTTCTGGAGAAGCTTCTAAGGCTCCTGAGAGTTCTCATAACTCCCTACAATGTTAACAGGTACACCCGCTGCCATCAGATTTAGTAGTGTATGCTCCAACAAGTAGTTGATCATTTTAATCTCAAAATAGATGTAGTATAGAGATTCACAATATTCAACTAATAAGTACAATGCAGATCAATCAATTACACCTGATGGAAGATGATATAAATGAAAGTTATATTCAGAATGAAAATCCTCAAACCAAAAGACAATTCTTTAAATGTCTAATAACTTTTACTACCTAATAGTTGGATTTTGCACCAATTCAGTCCCTCGGGTTCCATAAGAAACACATTTAGTGTCTTAACTTTCCAATATAGAACGATTAATTGACATAAAGCAAGCTAATCATAATTAGGTGAAAAACGCAAGGATGTTTAACTGTTGGCTTTGGAGGTAAACAAACATTACAGGGCAATATATGTTCCAGTCAATGGTTAAAAGCATCAGCTGATCTATGCAATGTAGAAGCCTTTCCACAAAGCAGTAGCAGGTTGTCTGTTGATACCTATATATCACATTGCTTCCCAAATAGAGAGCATTGTGCTATGAAATATACGAAAAACATTTAGGCAATTGTGCAGAAAAAATGCCCATTGTCCTCTGTTTAACTGATGCCGAGAGCTAATGTCCACATGCAGTACTAGTTTCCTCTCGCAATTACTATCCAATTTCAGAACAACTATCCATGATATGTCCAAATTGAGAAGTTGATGAATAATGTGTGTTCCCAAAAGTTGACTGACCAAAAAAAAAAGGATAATCATTTAATAGAGTAGCATTATTAAAAAGTGCTGAACAATTCGTAGCATCATGCGTAGGGACAATATATTAAGAACTTTGGAATAATCGCCAATAATTAAAAATTTTGATATTACTCCTCATACTTGATTAGAAGCTATTCCACCACTAATAACAGTATTTGCAAGAGCTCCTACACTGTGTTTATTCACATGTACTCAGACTTTTCCATGTTGGAGAAGGCCCATGTCATCATCTCCAGGTGCTTCAATTACAGTAGCCAACTTTTTCCCAAGTCCCTTGACATACATTTGCTCACCAGGCTGTGGTACATGCAACCTACTGTCCGTATTCCCAATAGAAAGACCATCAGTAGGCTGATGAGCTTCAACAAGGGATGCAATTGCAGACTCTGCTTTCTTCAGCAGTAGATTGTATTTATCTGCATCAGCATTTTTAAGTTGGTTCTCAAATTCATGCACTATATCTTAAATTTCCTTCTTCACAGCCTTCAATTCCTGTTGGATCTGTTGGCTCTCCTTGGTCTCAAGAGCTGTCTCACGCCCTTCAAAGTCATCTGCCGCATTTATTTTCTTCAATTTAGGAAGGAAAAATGGAGTAAACAGAAACTTATGAAGCAAAAGAGGGTGCAAACTGTGAGGTAACAATGAAGAGTATTTACCACTTTCCACCCCTTTTAAAAGTTGAAGTGAAACAGAAGGGGAAAAATACTCTTGTACATTATATGATGTACTCACCTATATGTAATAGCATGTAGTGTATAAATAAAACACACTTTTATAAATGGATACATGTATAGGTTAAGAAATTAGAATAAAAAATGATAGATATCATGGGAAACAGAAGTTGCCAAGAAGAGAGAAAAGCCATTCCTTGCCCACCAATACAAGCAAACACGTTACACTAGTGCTGTATGCAAGTGCTTCAGCTTTCTGTGCAACTTATGTGACGATAAACATAAATGAAGGAAGCAGGCTAGATATGGTAATCAGGGACTGCAATAAAATAGGAGAAAAACATTTTCATTGCATATTGTCTCATAACAAGTATCTCTTTCCTCAAAGATTAAATATTTACAATCATGCAACTTATGCATACCTCATAATAAATGCTCATAATATCCGAGTGAAGAGATGCAGCTTTATTTGCTTGAATTTCTAATCTACTTCTTTCTTCCATTAGTCACTGGTGGAGCAAATCTTTCTGCATCTGTACCTTCTGTGAGGTCAACTTGTTTATCCATGCTTGGGCACAGTTAATTATCTTCTCATCAAAGTCAATTCTTTTAGCAATGTTTATGGCATTGGATTCCCCTACGCTTCCCCAAATCATCTGGCATTGGATTCTTTTAGCAATGAAGCCTGTCATAGTCCAGTCCACATTCACCAATTGCTGCCACCTTACAAAAATTAAATTGTCGCATTAAGAAAATTGAGGAAGATACATGTATCTAAAGTAATCTTTTCTATGTTCTTCTAAATGTAGCACTTTAGTTTACCTTTCCTTTCTCAACCCCCTCTTTAGTCAATGAGAGAAGAGACTGAAAATGCTTTTCGGGATCCCCACTCTCATCAAATTCCTTAATCGATCACAAATGTATCCATTCATCCTTATTCTCACACATTCAATAACTTAAGGATGGCATTCAGAAGAGTATCAACAATCACTTTGCATCTTGTTGGGTGCACATCAACCATGCAAAAAAGTCTTGCTGCAAGGGAAAATGGATTGCCAAGAATATAGGGTATAAGGTGCCAAGCGAGAGACAAATGGCAGAGAAAGATGAAAAATCTAACGAAGGAAAACGTGTCTGGCTAACCATCAGTTTCAGCAATAGCAAGAGCTTCTTTTGATTCCTCTAGAAATCCACCAGTAACCTAGGACAGAAAACGCAAGACAACTAAAGAATCATTTAGCATGATTAATCCCGATTACAGAAGGCAAATAACCAACCTTACCAACAAGAAATAAACCTCTCAGTTCTGTTACTCCAATAAAACGGAATGAATTACAAATCAGCAAATTTTACAAGCTCATCCATCCTCTATGATATTAAAACAAGAGGTTGAACTTCTCCAAAAGTGGAACTTCAAAAGACCCAAAGTTCATATTCTCTCAATTTATTGAGCAAGCCAAACTATCAAACAGCCTGAGTTAATAATACCATCTATCTAACTACAAGTAGAGTTTCATTTTGTGGGACCGCTGATACTCCTTTCCCAACCCTTGAAAAAAAAGAAAAAAAAGAAACCCTACTAATAGGCTGCAAACTTATCCTTTGCAACAAGCTAATAGTAATACCAACCAGAAAAATAGTCGCACGAGACATATCCGTATGAAAAAGATCAAAGTTTTGTTCAGGGATATATACTTACAATAATTCGATCAACACCGGCGCTCCAAGCCCTGCTGAGTACTGCAACAATATCTGCCACATGGTATTTCTTGCTGTTGTATATTCCTTTGGACATACCATCTATAATTGAGATTCATTTATGCATTAAAAGTAGGTTTACTGAAAAAACTATCTTTCACGGAAAATGTTTTAGAAAGATTTAAGATTTGACATACCAGTGAGATTGACTGCTATATCTGTTCAAGTTAAAACCCCACAAATACTATATCATTAAACATGATTTAAATGACTTGGTGCCTTATTCAAGACAAATACAGAAAAGGGTTACTTGCCAATCATTTGGATAGTCGCCATTAGTGAAAGTTGGAGTCTTTTTGGGTGTCTGTCTGCCTGAGAGTCCGCTTGAGATGAGATCAACTGGAAGTCTAGAACAGCAAATAAAATTTAATAGAGAATAAAAGAAAATTTAATCAAGGGGCAAAAACAACATACACAAAATTAAAATGGAGAATGCAGTGGACTTGAGAGACAAACAAAAAACAAAAAACAGAGAGAGATGGAGAGAAGACTATTGACTTGTGTTAAAAAAATAGCGAAGAGGGGCAAAAGAGCAGAGTAAGATTGATTGATTGAGAAAAGGAAAAGGGAAAACAAAAGGTGAGAGAAAAAATGCACCTTTTGGAGAAAATGCGCCTCAGGTTCTAATCAAATCTGCAAAATTGCACAAGAAAGAAATACAAAGGCCATAAAAATGTTCACCTTGTTCTCTCTATTTTGATGGATAAAACGTCGGTTGGCAGCTGGCTCACCTGACCAATCTTTATGAAGGAGAGCAAAACGAAGAAGCAGCTTCGAAGAAACAGAGCAATAAAAGAGAAAATGAGAACCGAACAAAGCAACTCCCAAAGATAATCATGTAACAGAGAAGATAGGACGTTGTACTATAAACAATGATACAAAAAAGGAATGCAAAAATTAAACACATCACTAACCATTAGCACAAGCAGAAAATGCCGACAACAATGCATAGCTCTACCTGCAGCGGCGGGTTGGACAGAGCAAAGAAACAGTGGTGGGTTGGACAGAGCAAAGAAACTGCTACAGTCCTTCTTCCAATTGCCATCAACAGTGATAGAGTTATGGTTTTTTACAAATACAACCCAAAGGTAAATAGAAATTGACCTCCTGACATGAGCATGAAGAACAAGAAGAAAACGGTAAGAACAAAATGAATTGTTATGGCCGGTAAGAAAAATATAATGGAAGGGCAAAATTGTAATACAACTGTCCTTATAGTCAACTGAGCTCAGTTATTACAATAATGACAATCAAGTCCCAACACATATGGGAAAAGCCGAAACAGAAATGCTGCTAAAGGGGTCCAATTGGATGCAAGGAAAGTGAAGGCATGCAGCATTCATTTGAAAAATACAGTAATAACATTTCTATGCGGAATTTTTTTTTGCGCAAACAGGGGCAATCCTCACGTACAAGGACGACCACAAACTGTCCAATAATATTTTGCCACATCACAAAAAAGTAACTCTCTTGGCACACCTCTACACATTTAGTACATATGTGTTAATTAGACACAAAGCATTACCACATCAAATAAGTATAATTACTTAACAATTCATTGTAATTTTGGGACCACTCCCATTTAAGATGATACATAGTAATAGAAATTAGAATTCTCCACAATGTAATGCAAATTCTAGCGGGAGACGACACGGCCAAACTACTTATCACATTTTTATTTCAATTAGATACTATAATAAACTTACACAATCAATTGAAATTCTTATTACAAATAAAAAACTAAAAGAAAAGACAAATTACGGAGAGTGCATATGACCTAATGAAAATGAAATGTTTGTTTATGATGGTGGGCCCGCTAATCAAATAGAGATCCCCCTCCGTACCAGCAACATGCAATCCCCAATATGTCTTTGACTTGGTGGCCACCACCAAAGTATTAAAACTTGGGGGGGGGGTGGGAGGCAAGGTTTGAACCCTTGTCAAACCTTGCCTCCCAACCCTTGTCTCCCACCAATTGCCACATTAAGTGGTTTTATTTAAAAAATTTAGGCGGGTGTGTAGTGCACTCGTCTAGTCCGATGGTGGTTCAGTCTCCTCCGGGTTACCCTTAGACCTCTTCAGCTCCACCCCCTTTTTCTAGTGTAGGATAGAATAGATTTATCGTCTCTGTAAAAAAAAAAAGAGAGATGGCTTAGATCATCTCTCCTTTTATATTTCATTTTTCTTAGAGTTAATTTTCAAGTTGCACCTTGTAACTATATCCCAATTTTTACTTTGGTTTCTAAATTTTAAAATGAGACATCTTAATTGCTAAAATAAAAAATTCGTCTTATTTTAATATCTAAAATATAAAATTTATCCAACTTTATTCCCTGCGGTATAAATTTTGTCCAATTCAAGTTATCCAATTCAAGTATAACATGTCTCATGGTGCGTTTGATAAAATTAAAATTTAAAAATTAAAATCTAAAATCTGAGGTGTGAAATCATTAAATTACTGAATAGTTAAATATTAAGGCCTTGTTTGATAACCTAATTCAGCATTTAAGTTTAATAGATTTAGATTTTAATATATTCAGACGTATTTGATAACCAAAAATTGAATGTCTAAATTAATTAAATGGTACTGAATTTTCTGGACAAAATTTGCTCGCAAAAATAAGGGATCAGTTATTCATTTATCATTGAATGTGAAATACACTCAAATGTATTTGATTTAATACTTAACAATTTAATAATTTAATGGATTTAAATTTCATATTGACCAATTTAATAATTTAATGGATTTAAATTTCATATTGAGTGAAGTGTGAAATCTGAAATTTAAATCCATTAAATTATTTAGATTTCAGATTTCACTCTTCACTCAATATGAAATCTAAGTCCATTAAATTATTAAATTGTTGAGTATTAAATCAAATACATTTGAGTGTATTTCACATTAAGTGATAAGTGAATAACTTATCACTTATTTTTAGAGCAAGTTTTGCTTTGTTTAGGAGAATCAGTAGCACTTAATTAATTCATATGTTTTATTTTTGGTTTTCGAACATATTTGAATATGTTAAAATCTGAACCATTAAATTTAAATACTTTTTAAGTATTGAATTGAATTATTAAATAGAACTTCACTTTCGTCAAACTATATTCCCTAAATTATATTTGATTTAAGTATACGACGTGCCTTAGATTTGTCAATAATTTTATTTAAGTAAAATAAATTTTATATTTTAATAACTAAATTATAATATTTTAATGTTTAAAATTTGTTTTTACTGACAACTATCTAATCTACTTTTACTCTATGGGGAGTCAGGGAGTTTAAAGACACTTGTACAGAGGTGAACCAAACAAATGGAGAAGCACACTAATGTTTCTTATAGAGATGCATTAGATAGGATTTGATATCGACCGATCCCAAGAGAGAGAAAAAGTTTTGAAGGGTTCTTCTTGACCATTTAACCAAGACCCAATGCTCATTTGAAAGTTTAAATTCTGAGAAAAAAGAGAAAATTGGATTGCAGTTGATGGACGCGAAGTGAAACAAACCTTTTTCTTTCCACTACATCTGCCTAAACAATGCCACCTCACGCTTATGCCATCTGTACAACTCTCTGTGAATTCTCTTTTTACACCCTATGCGCTACAAGAATATCGGATTCTTTGAGGCCTAATTCAGTCATTTCACTTCTAGTTCTGCCTGTCCACACCCTGTACGAATCTAGTAAAGGAAAAAGAAAAAAAAGGGGAAAAAAGTTTCAAGTATCCAATCACTTTCATTGCATGCCCCGTAACGGAAGGAAAACAAATAAATAAATAAATAAAGGAAAGAAAAAAGAAAAGGAAAAAGTGATCAGAGTCTTTTACAAAACAACAAAAACCCCATTAATTGCTTCATTCAGTAGACTCTACAGTACAGACTACAGTACAACACACTAAACAACTCTCCCTGAAAAACTTCTCAAATTGCTCTCAACACTTTGCTCTTCCTCTCCTTCCTCTCTACATTGTTAGGGTAATCTTTTCCTCCATTTTGGACTATTTTTTCGTGATTTAATTTGGTAATTATTTCTGGGTTCTCTTCTCAAGCGGTCAATACTAGCCTGACGTTACAATTTAGACATGTGTACGCCCTTTTCGTGTGCATTTGTGTGTGTTTCTGTGTTTTTTTTTAAAATATTTTTTCCTGTTATTGCGTTGCATTTTTGGCTTGTTAGTCTAAATGGGTTGTTAGGGTTGTTTGGGGAGGAGAGGTGTTTTGTTTGTTCATCTGTTTTTTTTTTCCTTATTTTATTTTCCATGCAGTAATTTGTTCGGGGGGTTAGGGGGCTTTCAACAACTGTTTATGGGTTTTTCATTTTCATGTTAAAACTGGGGTTTTGCTGTTTGTTTTTTAATTTTGGCTGGGTTTTGTGATTTTGCTTGTAGGATTTGTTTACATTTCTTTGGCCAACATTGGGCTGTGTTTGGTTGGTTGGATACTGAAGTGGAAAAAATTTAGAATTTCTGTTGATGCATTTCGTATTAGCATGCGGTTTTTGCTGGAAACTTAGGCCTGTGTTTTTAGAAGAGAGAACGTGCGGAAACTTAGTCCTGTGTTGTTCGTATTTCAAAGGCTTGTTTTAATTATTTTGTAATTGTATGGACTTCAGTCTCGGTCATTGCTACTCCTTCCTTATTTTCCCCTATGGAGATTTTTTTAATTATTTTATTTTATTGTTATTTTTTTTTGAGAAAGATAAGGGGGCTTTTGACTGCTTTCTGTGTTGCTTGGGAGTTCCTGATTCCAATTGAATGGTGTGAAGACATACTTTGGCATTTGCTTTACCAAGGTAAATTGATCCTAACCTGTGTCCCCATTTTATTGCACAAATTTTTTTTGATGTTTGGTTATGTTTTTAATTTGACAAATAAATTGATATTCTTTGAGTGGAAAGAACAATTATGATGGATTTTCCTTCCCTGCCCCCTTTAAATATGTTTTGCATAGTCTAATTATCTCTGTGGAACCATTTTTTGCATGTTCTGGTGTTGATCTTCACATGATTTTTCTTGTGCCATTGGTACGAGTCTCACTTGCTGTTTCTTTTGCTAATTTTTCTATGTATTGATTATAGTTGATAAATTAATAGGTTTCTATGTAATGTTTAATCGGTGAAGGACTATCTACATGCATTTTGATTTTGAGCATTTTGAAGAAGGTATCTTTGACTGATAGGACTTTAGTCAACTTTCTCAGTGATGTAATGCCCAAAGAAGATGCATGCGTATTCACCTCTTTAGTGATCCTTGTTTCTATGTTGTACGACGTTTAGTGGATAAAAACTTTGGTGAAGATCTAACTAGTGGATTAGACAATTTTTCATTTAATGTTCAGCTCTTTGAATAATGGAAGGATTTGGACGAAGAATGAATTTCATCATCTTGGTTGACTTTTTCAAGTTTTTAACATATATCAAATCCTTCTAGTATAGTTTTTTTTTCCTTAGTTGTCCTGGAACCTAATGCGAAAACAGCTTAAGTCAAATGTATTATGCATAAAGTTTCAATTCAAAATGCTTTCTGGTGTTGTGAGGTAAGCAATTTAGTTGGAACATAAGCGGCTGCATTTCTGTCTACTTTGCAAATGTTAGTTCTGTTGCAGATATTTTGATGCTAGCATCTTTTGTTTGGTTGCTCCACAGACAGTAGATATGGCCACTGAGAATACTGAATAGGAAAGAACTGAAGATTTTCATTACAAAATTCCCATTACTCTGAACAAGAAAAAATTGGAATTCTCCTTCTGTTGAGCCTAATCTTGTAATAGCCACTGTATGCTTTTTCTTAATTTTGGTGATTTTTCACAGACATAAGCCATATCAATAAGAGAAATGTTGAAACATTCCAGCAAATGAGCTGAATCTGTATAGATATGAAAGTCTTCCGCGATGGTTTTCTTTTATTTGGTTGTATTGCTGTAGATGGAATTGTAGATTTAAAACAAAATTATATTTGCCTTTTCAATTCTACTGGAATTGGAGGCTCTGAAAATCAGCAGTATGCCTTTCAAATAGTTTCCAGACTAAGTTTTTCTTTGTATGATGCTTTTCTGGGAAATTAGAAGTGGCTTTTTTTGGTGTTTGATGTTATCAAAAAATTGAGTAAAGCTGCAATGATGCAAATTTTGGATTTGTTCTGGTTTATTTGGCAGTTATACACGTCAAATCATTGTTGAGGTTCATTGACCGATACATCATTGCTTCATTGTTCAAAATGTTTGTCTTTAGCAGGTGTTTATTTCGGTTTCTCATTTTCTCAGGTGTGCTTTAAAATAGATGGAAGAAAGCCCAACCTCGACTTCATTTGGTGGGAAAATAACCAGAATTTCATTTAGTTTAGCAACTCAGCAAGAAATTGTAAGTCATGAAGGCTGTGTTTTTTGTTTTGGATGGAATATTTTTCTCCATGTACTCCACTGGCTGAAAGAAGATTGCTCCAATGAGTTTGCTTTCTTAAGTTTGTGACTATCCTGTTGAACTTGAACAGAGGATGGTGATGGCCAAATATGATTGTAGCATGTTGGACTAGATATCTTCCCCTATCTAACACTCCCCCCCCCAACCCCCCTGGCACGTGTGCAGAGAAAAGAAGAATAATATTTCATTTCTTCATCTTTTTTGCTAGTGCAAATCATCTATCAGTGACTGTGCCATAACGCATGCTAGCCAGCTTTCAAATCCTTTTCTTGGGTTGCCACTTGAAGCTGGAAAATGTGAATCCTGTGGTGCTTCTGAGCCTGGGCAGTGTGAAGGCATGCACTATTTTACCTTCTGGGCTGTTAATTGTCATATTGTATAATTTTGAAAGACCCTCCATTTCTTATTCATTTTCAATTGTTTGCTTTCAGGTCATTTTGGCTACATTGAGCTACCAATTCCTATATATCATCCTGATCATGTTCGTGAGTTGAAGAGATTGTTGAGCTTGCTGTGCTTGAAGTGCTTGAAGATTAGAAACAGGAAGGTATCACATCATTGTTGAAATTTGAAGAACTATATTATTAATTGCTTTAAGGTCAACACAAAGCATTCATTTTGAAAGGAAGGACTTGCTTTATATAGTGTGGCATAACATCCATATGCACCTCCATGTCAAGAGATTGACTATTATATAATTCTAATACCTGTTAATAACACCCTAAGAATCTAGTTTCATTCAATACTAAGTCCCCCAAAATTAGTACCTTCTCATTGTTGCATTGCATCCTAATGTCTGCTGTTTGTTTTAATTTCCTTACTTCCTTTTGTTTCTCTTTTTAATGTCAGTAAAAAGAGTAAATGATATTGCAACTTAATCACAGCTTAAGAGGCTTCTATGTTTTCCTTTTATTGGTATACTTATGCGATGAATATTTGCGTCTGATTTGATGGGAGTTTCCTTTGATGTGTTTTATCTTACTTGGTTAGTACATACAGTTTCAGGTCAAGAATGTTGGTGTCCTGGAAAGGATGTTATCCTCATGTTGTGAGGTAAGCATCCATTGCTATTTTGCGATTTCCTTTTCTTTACCTCCTGCAAAAACAGTTATATCCATGCCCTGCTGTTAATACAGGTTGTCACATTTGTTTGTCTAGTTATCTCCGTATCAATGTATTTTCTTTGAAGTTGGACTAACAGGAAGCTTTGTTGAATCGATAATCTCAATTAATAAAAAGTAATTTGATTTGAAATTAGGATGAAACTGAATATTGAGAGGTCCATTGCTGACCCTTAGTGCAGTATATATTTGGTTATACCAGGAGCTTTTAGTTGTCCTTAATTGAAACTGACACCGTTAGATTTTTTTACTTCAAAAGATGTGTGTATTATTTGATATGTGTGATTTGTTCTCTTCTTTTCCGTCCTTGTAGGAGGCTTCGCAAGTGGCAATAAATGAGGTTAGAAATCCAGATGGTGCATTATACCTGGAACTGAAAGTACCATCGAAAATAAGACTGCAGGGAAATGTTTGGAGTTTCTTGGAAAAGTATGGATATCGTTATGATAAGAACCCTCGACCATTGCTTGCTTCTGAGGTTTGGCTTCTGTAAAGCTTCATGTTTAGCTTGTCATTGTTATGCTGCCTTGCTTGTCCTGCCTTAATCTGTCAAATGCAGGGTGTGCATAGTTGCACTATTTATTTGGAGTATGAGCAACTACTTATAAAGAGAGTTAATCTTCTATTTTGGTGATTCATTCTTTTATTAATCGATTCATTCCGTGCATATCTAGTTTTTAGTAATTACCGTCAACTATATCTTTTGTCTCCTATGCAAAATTTTTTTCAAATTTTACCAAACGCATGATTTTGATACTATGAGACTATAATCAGTCATTACCTATGCCAACTATAATGCTTCTTACATAAAGTATGGTTGCACTGCAGCATTTAGGAGGTCAAAGTTAGCTTGTTTGGACTTCATTGTGATTGTTTTCTTGGAAGAAAATAATTTCCTTGGACCTTTTCCCATATAAGTTTTAGAATTTATGTGCATAAAAAGAGAGTAGGTCATGTACAAATGTGAATTATTTGGAGAGACAAGTGCATGATTGTGTTGTGGAATGCGTCACAAAAATGATGGTGACTGGATCAACATCTGGATGCATAGGACCATGCTTATCAGAAGCCCAAATATGGCCTTTCTGGTATCCATGGGTAGAGATGGAGAAATTGGAGAGATGGAAACATTTGGCGCAACCACGGGGTTTTAATAGGGCAAATGATTCTATATTTTCCCTTGTATTTATGTTATCTGTGGCAGTTTGTCTACCAGCCAGAAGCCCGTTCATGAAGATCTATCCCTCGAACGACAGTTTTTCCACTGTGTTTGAGCTGAGTTGATCTTGTTTTGTGGACTCCCAGAACATGTTTTGGGTGTGTTGGAGAGATTTTTCAAAATAGGAGAATGAGAATAGCAACCTGAATTTGTTGATCTACTCTATGCTTCAGCAAATGCCTCAGAGTTAGGCCAAATCCAAAAACACCTTACATCTTATCTCGATATTTGTAGTGTTGAAGATCTAAAGGCAGTTTTTCTGCTTTAGTTGGCCTAGAAATGGTAATTGATCATTTGAAACCAAATGTTTCAGTCGTAGTTACTGGTCAAGGATTTGTGCATCCCTTGCCTGTGTTGCGGAGGCTGCTAGTGCAGGCTGAGTCTATTGCAGAGGTTTAAGGAATTCATGAATTATTTTTTGGAAACTTTAGATACAATTGCTGTAAAAAGTGACAGCTGATGCACAGTATTCCTGGAAAAGCCTAAAAGGAATATATTGATAAAGCAATGAGAGGCATAAAGTGAAATGCAAGTTAACCAAGACATGCAAAAAGACTGAAATAAATTGAAAAACTGCCTTTCACTGTTAAAGTCTCGAGAAGTTGACTAGCCACGTACAGGGAATTAGTATAACAACAAGTCATGGAGGTCAACTGGAGCAGGCTACATTGGTAGTTGATGCTGTTATGAGGCTGAGGCTGACCTGATGAACCATGTTATTTGCTTCCCAAATTATATGACAGAACCACCTTTTTAAATGCAAAGTTAACCAAGACATGCAAAAAGACTGAAATAATTTGAAAAACTGCCTTTCGCTGATAAAGTCTCAAGAAGTTTACGAGCCACATACAGGGAAGTAGTATAACAATAAGTCATGGAGGTCAACTGGAGTAGGCTACATTGGTAGTTGATGCTGTATGCTGCAGAGGCTGACCTGATGAACAATGTTATTTGCATCCCAAATTTTATAATGGAGCCACCTTTTGAACTTAGAGGAGGATGTTTAACTTCTAGCACAATATGAAACCTAACTTACTTCGTCTTGACTTTCACCTCAATCCATATGATGCATAACAGTCCATGGAGGCCTTGGAGATTACCTTGATACTAAACAGATTTCTTTTACTTTTTGCCTGGTATAGATCTGTACTTCATGCTTTGATTGCTCAACACAAATGTCTGTCAGTCTTTTCCCACATTTTGCCTTTATTCTTTTTGGTTTTCAATCTTCTTTGCTTTGTAGCCTAACTTTGTAACCAGTGAAACTCAGTTAGCCAAATGGTTTAAAGTTCTGATGGTATAGCAATATCTGAGGCTTCAGAAAAGAAATGCTTGAACACCTTTGCATGTTGTATATTGTACCTTAGTAATAGCATCGTGCAATGTTGAACATGAAAATTTTACCATGCTTCTGCCTTATTTTTGTTAAGTTAAACTTTGTGTTCTTATTGTTGTCATTGTATTTATTTTTGCTTTTTTTGTCTTGAGCAAACTGTTCTGCTATTTTCTTATTTGCAACAAGGTTATGGCTATGCTGAGAAGATTATCTTCAGACACAAAAAAGAAGCTTTCAGCTAAAGGATACTTTCCACAAGATGGATACATTCTTCAGTACTTGCCCGTTCCTCCAAACTGTTTGTCTGTGCCTGACATTTCTGATGGAACTAACATTATGTCTAAGGTTAGCAATTCATGTTTCATCACTATTTGAATATTCATTATTGATAATTTTGTGTTGAGTAAATGAATTAAGTTTGCTATTGCAGGATCATTCATTGTCTTTGCTGAAAAGAGCGCTGAAACAAATAGAGGTCATAAAAAATTCAAGGTCTGGGATGCCCAATTTTGAGTCTCATCAGATTGAAGCTAATGATTTACAGATTTCTGTTGCGCAATATTTTGAGTTCCGTGGCACTGGAAAGGTATAATTTAGCTTTTTGGGAATAAGAGTAGAAAGGGTATTGGGGCCGGGAAGGCTGTTTGGCAGTTCAATCTATTTTACTTGTTACGTTCACCATCTACTTTCCTTTTATCTGGACATGTTTTGGTTTATTTGAACAATATAGGTTTTTCGCTTTAGTGGGTATCTTTAGATGGGAACGTAAAACTTGGCAAGAAACTTAGATGTTGTTTTTTATTTTTTTCCAAAAATATTTTGTTTGTGATTTTGATGTGTTTTTAGCTGTTTGACAATTTTTGTTCATATTTGGGTTCTTTATTCTATTTTAATTTATTGTTTGTTAGGCTTCTCGTGATGTTGACCCTCGTTTTGGAGTCAGCAAAGAGTCCAATACTTCATCTACTAAAGCATGGTTAGAGAAAATGAAAACCTTATTCATCAGGAAGGGTTCAGGGTTTTCATCCCGTAGTGTTATAACTGGGGACCCATATAAAGGGGTGAATGAAATTGGTTTACCATTCGAAATAGCTCAGAGAATCACCTTTGAAGAGAGAGTCAGTCAGCACAACATGAACTACCTACAGAAATTGGTTGATGAAAAGTTGTGCTTAACATATAGGGATGGGATGTCTACCTATTCCCTAAGAGAAGGTTCGAAGGGTCATACTTTTTTAAGACCAGGTCAAGTTGTACACAGAAGGATTATGGATGGGGATATGGTTTTCATAAATAGGCCACCAACAACCCACAAGCATTCCTTGCAAGCGCTGTCAGTATATATTCATGATGACCACACAGTGAAAATCAATCCCCTTATATGTGGTCCCCTTAGTGCTGATTTTGATGGTGACTGTATCCATCTATTTTATCCCCAGTCCCTTGCAGCAAGATCTGAGGTCTTAGAGTTATTTTCTGTTGAAAAACAGTTGCTTAGCTCTCACACTGGAAACTTCAACTTGCAGTTGGCAACTGATTCCTTGTTATCTCTGAAGTTAATGTTCAAAAAGTATTTCTTTGATAGAGTAGCTGCTGAGCAATTAGCAATGTTTGTTCCAGCTGCATTGCCTATGCCTGCTGTAGTCAAGTATCGTAGTTCTGGTCCTTTTTGGACAGTTTTGCAGTTGTTACAGACTGCATTACCTGCTTCCTTTGAGTGTAGTGGAGAAAGATACTTGACTTACAGTAGCGAATTGGTCAAACTTGATTTTAATAGGGATCTATTGCAGTCTACTTTTATTGATGTTATTACATCTATTTTCTTCTCAAAAGGTCCTGAGGAGGTGTTAAGATTCTTCAATTTTTTGACACCCTTGTTGATGGAAAATCTGTATTCCGAGGGGTTTAGTGTGTGTTTGGAGGATTTTTATATCCCAAAGGCTATTATTGAGGGTGTCCAGCAAAGTCTTCAAGATGTTTCACCCTTGCTATATCATATGCGCTCAACTCAAAGTGAATCAATAAAATTACAGCTTGAAAATTTCTTGCGTGGCGTAAAATCTCCTGTTTCAAATTTTGTTCTTAAATCATCTGCAATGGGGTATCTGATTGACTCTAAAAGTGAGTCAGCTCTGAATAAGGTAGTCCAGCAAATTGGATTTTTGGGGATGCAGATATCAGACAAGGGGAAATTTTATTCCAGCACATTGGTAAATGACCTGGCACAGCTCTTTAAGAAAAAGTATCCTTCTAGTGGTCACTATCCTTCTGAAGAATACGGTCTAGTTCGGAGCTGTCTCTTTTATGGACTGGACCCATATCAAGAGATGGTTCATTCAATCTCTAGTAGGGAAGTTATTGTTCGTTCAACCAGAGGATTAACAGAACCAGGAACACTTTTCAAGAACCTTATGGCAATCCTCCGTGATGTCGTCATTTGTTATGATGGCACGGTCAGAAATATGTGCAGCAATTCAATCATCCAGTTTGAGTATGGAATGAACCACGGGATTTCCTTCCAAAGTGAGTTTGGTGCTGGTGAACCTGTTGGAGTATTGGCTGCAACTGCCATGTCCAATCCTGCATACAAAGCAGTCTTAGATTCTTCTCCAAGTAGTAACTCTGCTTGGGAGATGATGAAGGTGATTTTTATTTCTTAAATGCTGTTTCCATGCTCATTGGCTTTGAATTTCAGCTTTGTTTGTTTCAGATTCCTTGACAATATACTTGTCTGCTTTTCTGTACTTAGGAGATATTGCTCTGTGGAGTCAACTTCAAAAATGAAGTTTCTGACCGCCGCGTGATACTTTATCTGAATGATTGTGGTTGTGGGAGAAAGTATTGCAGAGAAAATGCTGCATATGTTGTCAAAAATCAGTTGAGGAAAGTCAGTCTCAAGGATGTTGCATTTGAACTCTTGATAGAGTAAGCCTCCATTATTGCCTTTTTTTTCCTTTTTGTCACCATTATTTATTTTCCCTGTGGGGACATTAAGTTGCCAGTGGAATATAAGTTTGATTTTTTTAGCAATGAATCATTGATAGAATGCACAACTTTTCTATATATACACACACACACATGCATCTCAGACCATGTGCTTTGAAGTTCATGAGTTAGGTGGTCTGTAGTTGATTTTTGGACACTAGTATCATTTCTTTTCTTGGCATCTCATCTGTGTATTTCAGTATTCTATAAAAGGAAAATGTGAGCATTATGTAGCGTATAATTAAGTTACACAGGCATCCTGGTCCTGACCACAAATTAATTGTGAATATTTTGATGGGAAAGGACAACCAGTTTCCTATTAAATGTAGCAAAAAAAAAAAAAACATCATATTGTCTTTTCTCCTCTGGCTCTCTCCAAACTGGTTTGTCCACCATCTTCTTCTTGTTTCTCCTCTTTCTACCCAATAGTACCCCCCATTCTTATCTTTTTATGGCTAATCTGACGTGTTTCCAATAAAAAGTCTTTCATTTCTTCTTCTTCTTTTCTTTTGTGGCGAAATATAGATTTACAGCAAAAAAGAGGCAGAAAGACTAACTAACTGAAGATGTGGAAGAAGAGCTTCAATATAATATTTCAAGTGTAAAAAATCTTTGTAGTTTGGAGGAAACAATGGGGGTAATTGCAACCAAGAATGAAAATAAAAAATTGCTTGAAGAAGCAGATATGGAAGGGGGAGGCAGTAGATGGGGGCAGGTGAGGGATGAAAGAAATGGGAAAAAGAGTAAAAGAGTGGGGGTTCTGGGAGTGGGAAATCTGAATCATGAGTATTTATCTCCCAGGAATGAGAGGGTGAGTTTTAGGAGAGTGGCCAGCTAGTGGTGGAGTTAGTGGGGTAGTGAGGGTGGGGTTATAGGGGAAGAGGTAAGGTGGGAGAGAGGTGGTGAAGGCACAGAGTCATTGAAATAGAGGTGGGATGGAGATTGGAGATGGGGCTTTTTTGTAAGTTTGGATTAACTAAGGGACTTTTCCAGAAATTAGTAATATTAGTAATTTAGCGAGTAAATCAGTTGCCACAGACATCTGTACTGTCTATGACCTTACCGCTGCTCGGTGTATAGTGAATATCTTTTGGGAATTTTATTGGTTATGATTCTCAATCCTTGTCCAAACACATAGGTCAAGTATTATTTTAGTTAAGTTTGTCCATCAAACTTGTCTTGTCCTGCTGCATAGATAAAGTGAATCAGGACATGTTAGCTGTTCAAGATTTTAGGCTGCTAAATCTAGAAAACTGATTCTTTAGAGGTGATTTCAGGCTATTGATGTCATTTACTAGTTTCATAAATGTTTTCCTGATTGGGCAAAAGTAGTTTACTTCTTTGAAAGGCTGAATAGGGGCTGGTGCTTCCTTTTCTATATTTTGAAGCCAATTGAACTGTAGGCATAAGTTGTTTGTGTATGCAGTTTGTTGCACTTACATTATCACCTCTTTTATGTTGATTTCATTAGTAAAAGATTGTTTCCATAAATTCTGTACCTTTGACTTTTATTGCACTGTTTCCAAATGGTAGTATCCTGGATACGTTCTTGGTATTTTTTTTTTTGGTTGAAAAAGCAGCATTAGTCTCCGAGGAGTTTATGGAAATTTTTCATGTGTTGGTTTTCATTGACGCCATCTTTTGTTATTTACAGGTATAGACAACAATATTCAGTGTATGAGAGCTCTCAAACTGATACTGGCCTTGTAGGTCATATTCATCTCAATGAGGTCTGTGTATCTCTTTTGAGGATGTTTCAACTTTTGTTTTCTTTAGGTTTTGGGTTATTTTGTTTGTGCTTCTGTTCTTTGCTGATTGTAGTGATCTAATGCCCTGATAGGCAATGATGAACAGTTCAAATATTACCATGAATGAGATTCTATCTAAATGTGAAGAAAGAATCATTTCCTACCAGAAGAGGAAAAAAGTTGGTTTTAAGTTCAAGGGAGTTCTTTTAGGAGTCAGGTTAGTCTATACATTGGGCATGGTACTGCAGTTAGTCAATTTCTCAATATTGTGATTGCTTTCTATCTGAATTTTGTGTCCGGATTCTTCTGATTACACTTTCCAGGTTTCTCCTACCTTGCCTGACTTGTTTAGCTAATAACATTTGATGTCATGGCAGTACACCTTTAGAACTTGGAAAGGAAAGATTCTCTACGTGTAATAACATGTCTTACTTGTTTGCAGTGATGATTGTTCTTTTCGGCAGTCTTCTGCAAGAAAGTTGGCAGAGACTCCATGCTTGAAGTTTATCTGTCAAGATGCAAGTGACTATCAATTAGAGCAAAGATCTCATGTTCTTGCTGAAACAATTTGCCCAGCTTTGTTAGAAACTGTAATTAAAGGTACTTATTATTACTTTTTAAGATCCTTACGATGCAATTCATCTGTTTGGTTAGTTCCAACTTTGGTTAAATTAGTCATTCTTGAGAAGATGTTTGAAACTTGACTTTTGTCTAGAAAGTTGAAACACATCAATATGGTGGACTCCGGGATTCCCTAAACTTACTGAAATGTTGGAGCAGAGGCATAAAATGTGATAAGGGGTTGGAAAAAGGGGGAGGAGCCCAAAAACTATGCACACCAAGCATTTATAAGTTGTGTTAAGACTCACCCCTTGTGCAGCCTGAATCCTGGAGGAGAAAATGAAGCCAATTTTGCAGAATTACCTGCAAAAATTCTGCAAGACCTGATTCTTTGGCTTGGTTTACATTTAATTTTGGATTTTGGTTTATTTTGAGCTTGCACCATTATTGTGATGGAAAGCCTATCACTGTGGTACCAATTTGAAAATAGGTCAGATTGCTTTTGGTGCTTGATGAATAGATTGCTTCATGCAGAAAAATATCCATATTAAATTGTCTGCTGGCTCAAAGCTTATAGGCATCTTATTTTGTTTCAGCGAATACCGGCCAATTTTATGTGCCTTGAAGGTGTGATAATGCTGATTGATTCAGTATTCCTGAGGGTTTTTATTGTTTCGTATTTACCAGGATTTGGCTTCATAGCCAAATGAAAAAGAGATAAGGCAGGAGCGTCAAGAGTGGATTCTGTATGTTTAACTCACCCACGTTAAGATCCTGAGTAAAAAAATTTGAAATTTTGCTTGCTGCAACAGCATAGTCATGTTAGGCAATTATTTTGGCTACAACGCCTGTCTTTAACTTCTGTACTTTTTGATAGACATCAGTATCAATAATGCTTGTATAGTAAAAATTAGAGAAAGAGTGAGAATGTTCTGCTCTTTGAGGCATTTTTTCGAGTCAGTATAAGCAATGTAAACTTTGAGATCAAAGAATGTCCCCATTCTCAATCCTTGGTGGTAAGAATTGGGTGATATGCAGCACAAAAGGAAAAGCGGCTTACATCTAGTAAGGACTGGCTATTTATTTAACTCCATGAGGATGAATAACTGGTTATTTGATGAGGTTTCTATTGACCCTCATGAGTATTGTTTGGTATTTTACTTGCTGATTTTCGCTGTAGTACTCATAAGTTTTCTTGCATTTGAGTCCTGAAACCAAACATCTCTCATTTCTGAGGTTAATTGTTACGACTGTATGTTGGATTGCTTGTTTCTGTTGAAATAGGCAGGTTGATAGATAATCACTGGCCTATGATTTACTGTCTTGCTCTTGCTAATAGAGTAATGACTCTGGATCTGTAAGCATCTCATCATTTTGAACAGTCGGGAGGGTGTTGAATAGACAATTCTTTCTGGTGTCTTGTTGGATGGCTTGTTTCTGTTGAAATAGGCAGGTTGATTGAAAATCACTGGCCTATGATTTACTGTCTTGCTCTTGGTAATAGAGTAATGACTCTGGATCTGCAAGCATCTTATCATGTTGAACAGTCGGGAGGGTGTTGAATAGACAATTCTTTCTGGTGTCTCGCAAAAAGGCATAGCAATTTCTTTTACCATTTGTGTTTTTCAGAAAACAAGTGCAAAGAAAAGGTATTGTGTTGGACCTGGGAGTTTGTACATTCTTGCTCAAGGATTTGAAGCCTTGGTAGAGGATCTTTTGTTTAGGACCCAAACTGGCTAGTTTACTGGCTATCTCCACTGTAGTTGAAGAACTGTTAAGCTTCAGATAACTGCTAATTTGATATGCTGGTAGTCTTTGGCTTAGATACAGTAATTTGAAATTGAAGACGTTTGAATGGAGGAATAATTAATGGTTGTCCCCCAGTTTCTTTTTTTTTTTCCTTTTTTCGAGAAACAGACTTTGAGATGTAGAGAACGTTCTGAAATTAGGAAAGTAGCAGAGGAGGATAAGAGAATAGTGAACTTAGGGCCACACATGAGAATGATACACAGAATCAAGGGAGGAATATTAGATTGTTGTGCTTACACTGATCTGCAGGAACAGAGTTTGTTATGTAGAGAGTTCTGAAATTCAGCGAAGAAAGGGAGAGAACTTAGGGTCCGCACACGAGTGCCACAGAGAATGAACTACATTTCTTAAAATATCTCTATACTTCTGAGTAGATCTCAGGCATAGCACTTGGAGAGTTGGAGATTAAAAAGTACTTGATATATACATGTAAAATGTTGGGGGACAAATATCTGACAGCATCTTGCTGTCTGAAGTGCAGTATTATAGCTAGCTCTAGTCTTTTATAAGACCTCGAAATTCAATTTTATTACAGAACCTAACTAGTGAATCTTTTGGACAAGCTACTATATTGGCTTAAAATCTACTCGAGTACATGAAGTATACCTAATTATGAAGTCATAGATCAGCTCCATATAGGAATTTCCAACTGGCCGCATTTGTTTTAGAATTCAGCTTCCCCCTTCTCTTGTTAAATGTTAGAAATCTTGTGCTTTCTACTGCTTCAGATCTTCTGCAGCCTCCCAAGTACCAATATTTTCTTCTTTTTATGTTTGGTGTGCACATTTCTGTTATTTTAGTGTTAGACTGCATGATCTGTGTCTCTATTTTGTTGCCAACTTTGAAAATAAATTTAAATGTGATACAGGGTATCCCCATACAAGGGTTGCAGGTACTGTTCAGATCTTGTTTGACCCCAGATATGCTCATATATTGCAGGTGATCCAAGGGTTTCAACTGTTAATATAATCTGGATTAGCCCTGATACATCAACTTGGATTAGTAGCCAATGCAAGAGCCAAAGGGGTGAACTGGCTTTGGATGTTGTTCTTGAGAAGGATGCGGTGAAGCAGACTGGTGATGCTTGGAGGGTTGTGATGGATGCCTGTCTTCCTGTCACCCAGTTGATAGATACAAACCGCTCTATTCCATATGCCATCAAGCAAGTCCAAGAATTGCTTGGAATTTCTTGTGCATTTGAGCAAGCTGTTCGGGTACTATGAGGATTCTGTCATTTTAATCTATTTTGTGAACTCTTATGAAATATTATATAAATGGATGTGAAACATGCCTCTTTGTTTAAAAGTAATGCTGGAAAACTTGAACATGTGACAACTAATGGTGCAGTGGATTTACTTGTGTGATTGTGTTTGAGTACAAGGAAAAAGAACTATTAATGTCTTGTAATGTTAAAATTGGTACTTCTTGTTTTCAGATTAAATGTAAGCTCTTATACATCGTGAAGAGTCTTCTGATTTCATTCATGATTGTTTTTTTGTTGGGTATATTCCCATTGTGAGATTGAGCTTGTGCTTGTAGGATATTAGAATTGAAGGAATCTCCATTTCTTCGATGGAGCTTCAGTGTTTCAAGCCACATGTTTTTTATCTGCATACTATTGTCAAAAAGTGACTGCATCTAGTTTCATACTTCTACATGTGTATGCTTCCAGAATTTGATCAGCATAAGATCTGCTTCATGAACTAAATTTGGATTGTAAGACTTTTGAAAGGAATTAAAAAAAAAAAAGAGGTTTTGCATGAAAATCCACCTGATTGATTGACGTATGTTGCAGTCCTAACTCATCCAAATGCTGAAATAGACAAATAAGAGAGCTTGTTTTGACATTTTTATGGGCTGAAGACATACTGGCTTTTTAATGTTTATTTCCATGTATGTAACAGCTAGTTGTATGTCATGATCTTGCACATTTTCCATGGTAATCGACTTAAATCAATTTGAGATGGATGAGACGCTTCAATCACTCTTACTGTGATTTATTTGCTTCATTCTGTTGTTGATGCATTACCTTCTTGCTTTAAGAAATCAAATATGTGAAGGTATAGTCAACTACTAAAGTTCTATAGCTTAGGGTACTAACCTTTTGGTTAGCGTTTTATTCTTTTTGGTATTTCTAAACCTTTTGGTTTATTTACAGCGCCTATCAACATCAGTAATGCTGGTTACAAAAGGTGTTCTCAAGGACCATCTTGTGTTACTGGCTAACAGTATGACATGTGCTGGTAACTTAATTGGCTTCAATATTGGAGGTATAAAAGCTTTGTCACGATCGCTAGATGTGCAAGTGCCTTTTACAGAAGCAACATTATCTGTAAGCACTTTCCTTTTATGCAGACGATTTTTCTTTTCTATACTTTTATCCTTCTTTGTTTCATTTAAAACTTTTCCAGGCTCCAAGGAAGTGTTTTGAGAGAGCTGCTGAAAAGTGCCATGTTGACTCTTTGTCAAGTGTCGTAGGGTCTTGCTCCTGGGGTAAACATGTAGCTGTTGGTACAGGATCACCATTCGATATTCTTTTGGACACGAAAAAGGTTTGTCAACTGCTAATTTTTCCTGTTCTATGAAGTGTTTTAAAAGGTTCTTTAGCTGTGTTTTCAATGAGTAATATTTCTAAAAGTTAGGTACCAGTAGGCTAAAATATTGATGTTTCTCTCTTCCTTTTGGTTAGTCAAAACGAAAGGGAAATCTTGTTTAAAATATATTGAACACCAAGAGTGTTTTTATTATCTGCTTGAGATGCTAATTGCTGTCCATGTGTTCACCTATGAGTACATAGGTTGAACTCAACCAACCAGCTGGTATCGATGTGTATGATTTCCTTCAGTTGGTCAGAGGCAGCTCTGGCGGAGATGAAACAAACACCACTTGTCTTGGAGCAGAAATTGAGAATCTGGACTTGGAAGATGAAGCTATGACTTTTGACTTGTCTCCTGTTCGCGACTCTGATCAGCCAACTTTTGAAGATAGACATGAGCTTGAAAACAATTTAGCAAATCCAAGGTCCAAGGAGAGCATCCAGAGAGAATTGGGTTGGGAGAGGGATTCACCTCAGACTGCTGAACTAGGTGGTGGTTGGGAAAAGGCAAGCAAAGCCCAAAATACCAGTGCCAACGTGCTAGTGTCAGATTCTGCTTGGACTAGTTGGGGTGGTGGTACAGTAGGCAAGGAGGACAACTTCTCCAAGATGGCAAAAGAAGATTCACGCAGCTTTACTGACTGGAATTCTACACAACCTGGTAGTTTGAAGCAGTCAGGATCATCATCTGCGTGGGGGAAAATGGTTGATAATGAAAGGGATTCGTCTTTTGCTGCTGAACCCCGTAGCAGCTGGGAGCAGGCAGCTGATAAATCTGGAAATGTTTGGACCGGTAAAAAAGTCTCAGATTCGGCTTGGTCCGGTTGGGGTAGTAGTCCAGTCGATAAGGAGGCCAGGTTCTCTAATGGCGTCCAAAAAAATTCTCCGAAGTATGGTGAGTGGGGTGCGAAGGAACCTCAAAGTACTGGCGAACAATCAGAATCTTCACCTGCCTGGAAGAAAATTGATTCTCTGGGGAATTTACCTTTAACTGCCAAAGCCAGTGGAGGTTGGGATCAGAAATTTGACAAGGACCAAAGGCATGCAGCCCAAACAACAGCACTGGATCCAGATTGGTCCAGTTGGAATAATTGTGAACCAGTTGAAAGAGATAGCTTTTCTAAGAGGGTTCAAGAAAGATCTTCCAGTGATGGTGAATGGGGCAAAAAATCTCAAGATACTGCCAAGCAGTCGGGATCTTCATTTGGTTGGGGGAAGAAGTTTGAGGCTGGGAGTAATTCACCTTTAACTACAAACGGGAGTGCTTCATGTGGTAGTGGAGGTTGGGAGCTGGCACTTGACAAAGCCCAAAGGCTTGTTTCCCAAGCAACAGTTAGTGATCCTACTTGGTCCAGTTGGGGATCTGGTGAAACAAACAAGGAAGAGATAATATTAAACAGTGGCCAAGGAGATACTTCCAATGATCATAAATGGGGTGCAAAGGAATCTGAAAGCACAGGGAAGCAGTCAGGATTTTCATCTGGTTGGGGGACAAAGGCGTCTTCTAATGAGAATAAGACAGATGAAAACAAGGACCCAGCTACAGTCACTACAGAAAATTATAGTGATTGGTCCAAGATGAACACTGATGCAGTTCAAGGTGAACGTAGCTTGCCTACAAATTCTGAAGAAGGTTCTTGGAGATCTGGTGGAGCAGTTGGAATTGACATTGATGGAGAGAGGAACAAATCTACTGGCACACACGCGTGGGAGAATAAGAAAGATGCACATTCTCAGAGGGGTCCACGGAAATGGTTTAAAGGGAATGGAAATGAAAGTTCTCGAGGTTGGGGTTCACCCAGTAACGGAGATTGGAGAAACCAAAGAAATCGTCCTGCTAAGGCTGTTGACAATGTTGGTGCAAGTGGAACTTTCACATTAACAAAGCAGCGGTTGGATTCTTTCACAGCAGAGGAACAGGACATTCTTTCGGATTTCGAACAGATGATGCAGACCATCAGGCGAATAATCCATCAGACTGGGTAAGCTGCTATGATTTTTGGACAAAAATAATCAGTTGAGGATTTTATATACTGTTACTTTCTGGAAACTAAAAAATTATGAATGAAAAATGATGCCCAATTAAGGAGATGAGTTGTTACTGAGGTTGACCATTATACACTGGAAAATTTTGTAATCAGTTTTCTAATATTTGACATACAAAAAGTAGCTTTAAGAGTGGTGTATGAATTTCCAGGATTAAGAAAGGTTGTTTTTGTATAAAGGTAAGTGCTCAAAAAGTGTGCAACATTTTGTTCATGTATGCCTATGTGCTATACATCCTTTATTTAGTTTTATTCAAGTTCCATGATTTGCAAACTACATTCCCCTATCTTGCAAATAAGTAATCTAAAAAAGTTTTAATTTCTATGCTAATTTCTAGTTTTATTGCTTGATTGTGAAAACGTTTGACATATTGCTGTAACCCTAAAATTTTTGGTTGAAGGTACAATGATGGTGATCCTCTATCTGCTGATGATCAGTCATATGTTGTAGATAATGTCCTCAATTATCATCCAGAGAAAGTATTGAAGATTGGTGCTGGAATCAAATATATAATGGTATGCCCTAAGATCCTGAATCAGTTGCATAACATAGATCATTGTGGGATCATTTATCTTGTATTACATGCTTTAAACATAAGAGTCAACTTATTTTTTGGAGTGTTCTGTGCCATTTCTTTTGACTTTTTTAAGGGTGTAATTTGTGGTTCTTTAGCTTTTCTCTAACCTGAAGCTTATAGTAATAAGCTGTCTATAGGCTAATTGGGCTGGTTCTTTTGTAAGCTTCTAACCTTAAAAGTTTCAGTGGATATGCAAACATGATTTTTGGTGGACCATTTCCAACTAAGGCATTTATTGGATTTATGTTTTGCCTTATTTATCTTTGTTAATTTATTTATCCTATCTATGATACTTGAAGTTAAGTGTAGCCCGGGCTGTCAGTTGTCATCCTTGAGTTCTTTCTTGAGCATGCAGGACAGATTTAAGCTAAAGAGAGAATGCAAAAAGTTGCGAGTCTTCAAAAATAGTGAAGTTGATTATGGTCCTCCTGGGAGCCTAGTTCCAGGAAACGATGGATGCTGTAGACAAAATGTGGAGTCTCAAATAATAAGTCAGAAATAAATATATTGAGGATGATGAATACATGATATATTAAAAACTGTCCATCACCTATGACTCTTGTTTCCCTGGCGAAGAAAAACGATTTAGTTTTAACTAAAGTTAAGGTCGACAATACTAGCTCTGTTACACAACTAATGAACTGGATTTTCACAATGATCTCTAAGCTATTTCAATGCCATAATTCATTGTTACCCGAGAATAGGGGACTTCCATATCTTTGTGCTTATAGGATATTGTTTTGGATATCACAGGCTTTACCATGCTAAATACTTATTAAGCAAGTTTCACATATTCTGGTGTTATCATTTTGACAAGGGAAAATGGTTCAGGTTGAAAATTTTCAAGAGTAGGACAAACTCATACTGTAGTAATTTGGCACTGGCACAGTATATTATTGACTTATAATTAAAATAATGATGATAGAGAGTCCAAGCACAGGGGGAAATAGCAAAGAAGAGAAATGGTACCACCTGCAAACTTTATAGGAAATCAGATCTTTTTAGGTCATTTTATTTGTTTCCCTTTGTACATCAGTAGAATTTTGGTTTCTTCTGTATAAAAGATGAATAATGATGCTGCGGTAGATGAACTTTGCATGCAAACTTTGAACACTGAATACAGAACTTCTTCATGACCAAAAATGGTCAATTGTAAGACCACACATTGGGTTTACAAGGAACTGCACCTGGTATCAATTGCTAGGATCTGAAAAAATAGATTTCTTTAGGTTGTAGAAAAGCGCTCACCTTCAGAAAAGGTTTTCAGAAGGCATACAACATGAAGTACGCATGGTTTTTCTTGGCCTAAAGCCAATCTGGGGCATAGAATTGGACCTTGGATCTGTCCAATGGTCCCTTGGGTTTTGGCCATATATAGTGGAATGAGCCACTATTCTTATACTTACCTTGAAGGGCCAGGCTGCGGGGAACTTCAGATGCTTCTCTGTATCTCTTGAACATTTTGGGATATTACAAATTGGAGCTCCACCTACCTTTGAATAACATCTGGCCGCTTGTGACAAGTATGAAAATATTCAAGCTCTTGCTCTGAGTCCTCCTTAAGAAGCTTTGATTGGTACAAGCTCTTGCTCTGAGTCCTCCTTAAGAAGCTTTGATTGGTAGGCAATAAAGTTCACGACCATGGTTCGCCATCGCAGGTCGCGGTCGCGTCGTGGTCTTGGTTGTTCCACATCTATCACGGCATATCGATTGAATATCGGGTGATACGCACATTATAGCATATGCAAGTTTTCAAAAATTTTGAAAAAATTACTAAAATTAGAAAATACGAAAAAAGACAATTTAAAAAAATATCTGAGTTGACTCCAAGTGACTCGGATATATCGGTCGATATCCTCCATCATGGATTCGAATCGGCTAATATCAGCCGAGTTAGAGCGAGTGATTCGGGGATCAGTATCGTACGGTCCCCTCCATTCTGGTTATGACTCGGTCGATACATATTGGTATTGGCCGATATTGCGAACCATGTTCATGACAGACCTTATAAAACTTGATGAGTTTTGAGGTTCTAGTTATATGAATGTTTTGTTGCAGTCTTTGCATTGGAACATTTTCTATGTATCATTTTTCCTTGGAAAAACTGTGATGCTAAATTGTTACTATCACCTCTCTCTCTCTCTCTCTCTCTCTCCATAACGATTTTACCATAGAGGTTGAATATCAAGGGACATTGATGTTTATTTTTGTTTGGATACTATTGGTGAATACAAGGATGTTGTTCTTATCACTTATTTCATCAACTGATATTTCATCAAGTTATTCGATGAATTATAGTCGTTTGTGACCTGCAATTGCTGCATGTATCTGCATGCGATATTCTTATTTATTCTCGTGCTATCATTGGAAATCCATCACTAGCCAAATGTTTTGGCAGTCTTAGGTTTGCACTGGTGCTAACCTCTGAATTTTTTAACAGGTTTCTAAGCACGCAAGCTTTCAGGAGAGTAGGTGTTTTTATGTTGTCTCTACTGATGACCACAAGCAAGATTTTTCATATCGTAAAAGCCTGGAGAACTTTGCCAGGATAAAGTATCCTGACAAGGCTGATGCTTTCCTGGCAAAGTATTTCAGCAGAAAGCCTCCCCGTCCTGGTTGGAGCAGAGACCATGCTTCTACTCCAGATGAAGCTGGAAGTCGGCAAGAACAGTAGTTCCTTTTTCCAGCTAACATCCTACCAGTGACAGGAAGTTTGCTGCTCATTTTCCTCTAGAGCAGTCATTAGTGTTTATCTTTGCTATTCCATCGAATCTGACATCCAACCTAGGAAAACTTTAGCTTCTTTATTGGCACTTCAGTTGTACAGTTGTACAGGCATCTAACTTAAATCAGGACTTGTGGTTGCTGGAAAGTCACTGTATCCACAGGGAAGTCTAGCTGTACATCCTTCTGCTGAGCAAAAGCCATTATCGGTTAATTAAAATCCTAGCCATTATCGGTTAATTAAAATCCTATCTTCTTCAGAATCATATTTTATGTATCAATATCGTTTGCAATTTGCATTTGCTTATGTTTTACAGTGGATTGTTGATTTAATTTTGCTGGGCTTGATGGCATTTATGTAGAGTATGGCTGAGAGGACAAGATTTTCATCATGCTTTTTGGAGAAAGGGTTTGACAGTACAGAAAACAGAACCTCTTTGCTTTGCTCAGTTGACCTGGTCTCGTTTATTACCGTCTCGCTTAGCCTCAACTAAACAAAATCGTGGATTGGCTTGCGTCAAATTTTCTCTAAGGTGCGTTTGATTCTAGAGAATTAGAATTGAATTAGAATTGGAATTCCAAGTCATTCCAATTCTTTCGTTTGGAAAATGCATAGAATTGATACAGAATTTATTTGGAATTTCAAATTCTTTGTTTGCATGAGAGAAGAATTCATTAGGAATTAGAATTGTTTTCATGAAAAAACATTTGCTTACATATAATTTTTCTTTTTTTCGTTTTTCTATATAATAATTTCTTTTTTTCTTACATTTAGCTAATTTTTACTAAAGATTTAAAAGAAAAAACCAATTTATGCCTTTGATAATTTATTTTTTCCCACTCTCATATCAATTTCTTTGGTGAACATTTCCTTTAACATGTTTTGATCCATTATCCCTTTTTTCTGAAGAAATATATCCCCATCTCAAACGTGGTATTTCAACTGTGTTTTGATATATTATAATAAAGCAAACTTCTTTCTTACTTCTAATACTTGCACAAAATTCAAAAAAAATTTAGAGAGTTAGAACTTTCCCTGTGGCGCATGGAGCCAACATGTATCAGATGGCAAAGACAATTGTACACAGGAATTGTCCAATTTGTGCAACATCCAATGTCGCTCGAGGGATGCACCAGAAACCATGTACCATAACTACTGCAAGTTCGTTAGTTGTAACTACTACAAGTTCCAAGTCTCCATTTCACTCCCCATACTTCAAATTTTCTGCAATGTGTCGCAGTAGTCAGAAATTACTGATTACTCCAACACCAATGTGTTTAAGATTTAATTATGTGTAAAACCTCAACAGCAAAAATACCTAAAATACACATTTAGCGAGTGCAAAAACATAGAAATTACAGCAACTCAAGACTCCCAGATGCTCTTCCCCCAGTGACCTAACAATACAACCGAATGAAAATGCTGAAGGCCAGCATCAAAATTTGGAAACAAAATTTAAATGCCAACACAAGTATCATTTTCTGACTTGCATGTCCAATCAGAATCGGTAAATAACACTTCTTAACCAATCTCTAGTATGATGTGAAATGTGCTCAACAAGCATCTGGATAGCATGAAAAAAATAAAAAAACAGCAGCATTGATCACCATATAGGTTCATGCAACTCAAGGACAAGTCAGGTCATCAACATAGGCTGCTATGTTAATCTCAATACCTAAAATGCTAGTTCATCAGACAAAAGATCCAATGTCCCATTCTTATCATCTCAAAAATCAGACAGAAAATAGCTGAAATATTTCCTAGAATCTTTCTATAATCTTGTTTTGATCCATTACATGAAAAACAAAGAACTCATTAGAATTTAAAAAGTACACGATGGAGTAGTAACAGCTTCTGCTTTCTCTACTTGGCTTCCAGCAATATGCTCAATTTCTTCTCCCAACAGAAACAACTTCAAATGGAGGTTACCAAATAAAATCAATTACCAATGTGCATCAATAGCCAATCCTTTTTTAAGTCATCTCGGAGACCAAAAAAAGTGTCATACTTTGTCCTGTCATTCATAAGTAAATCGATACCCTTTAACAATTGAAATCTATCCAATTCAATTTCAGATAACTCATCTTCCACCATTTTAGTTGTAACTTTTGAACATTCTGAATTTAAGTACTCATCCAGTGAATCTGCCATTCGTCCCAACACCTTGTAAAGTGCTTGAGAGCTTGTCAGTTTCCTCTTTGTACCACGATCATTTGTTGAAGATGACGATTTTCCTCTTTGTACCACGATCATTTGTTGAAGATGACGATTTTGATTTTGACCGTTGTCGAGCTAGCAATGCATTCATAACTTCATCTTCTAAAGAACGTGAATCAGTCTCAAATGATTCCTCTACATTAGCAGACTCTTCAACTTCAGTATCAACATTAGCCTCAAAAGCAGTTTGGGCGCCCTCTCCATTTGCACGATCTTGTGAAAACAATGTACAGATATCCTCCCAATTTTCAACCACTATTTTTTTTTCTATAAGGAACAATTTTTGGATTCTCACTTACTCGAGCATTCCATACATCCTCATCACAAACATCAATTCTACCTCTAGAGTAGTCCCATATTATCGCAGACCCAGAGTTATATGACTGGAGCAGTGGGTATAGGATGTCATAGTGTTTCTCCCATGTCTTGAAACGAGATATAATATTAGCCTTTGTCACAGATATATTGAGCTTATCGAATAAAGCATTCATTACGGCGGTGTAGGCTGCTGTCTTCCATGCACATTTACCATCCAATTTGTTTCCTTGGTTCATTTGGTCAATAAAACAAGTGTCCATTACACGATCCATTTCAGGAGTCCAAGTGAAATACCCTTTGCCTTTCCCTTTTGACTGAGATGTTGCTTCAGATGCCATATGTGAGGCAGATATGCACCAGAAAACATCACAATGTCATGTTCTTAAGAACATATTTAATAGCTACTGCATTATAGGACTAAAAATGAAAGGCAAAAATATACACCTGAAAAATTCATACATATGTTAAATGAATTGACATTAAGCAGCGTTGCTGACAACTACTCTTTTCCATTAGCTACCCAGAATTGGAATAGTTTGATTTCAGATGTCATAAATGCCAACAGATATGGGGGAAAGACATAGTGTTGCTGATCAAAGATGGTACCACATCAAGCAAGAGTGATGTGGAAGACATCCTTGTGAACCAAAAGGGGAACTAAACATTAGTCAAACATGAAAGAAAGTACACAACACTGTCTAACTGCTACTTTAGTTCCTATCAAGGAGTACTAAATAGCTTGAACTTAACTATTCAACTGAAACCTCAGAAGTGTGTGGTAATAAGTCCAAAGCTGTGTACATACATAGTCAAAAAGATATAAGTATTATTAAAAGAAAAATACATCTTAAAAAACCATTTTAAGGAAGACATACGGGATTAGCCCTTTAGCTAACTGAATTAACTGAATTCAGTTAATTAACTGAATTCAAACCCACTCCAGTCACAATAGAACAAATTAGTGAGAGGAAGCAGAAACAAAAGCAGGCCTTCAATCATTAAGAAATGCACAACTTGACCAGAAAGGTTAAAATATCAATTATCAAGATAACTAACAGCAATCTGCAGTAAGCAAAAAATAAGCCCATGGTCAAAAAACTTCAGAAGGTTTTCACCTCAAGCGAATTTCCTCCTTTACAGATTCTTTGGCATCATCTGCAGTAGTAAATACGAAAAGCAGCTTGGATCTCACAGTATTCAGAACATGGATTCGAGTAGGAAGGAAGGAGCAGGAAAATGATAAAAATTGTAGTACTCACTATATATTCTGATATATGAAGCTATAAAATGGAGTTAAACAAGAACAATGGGAAATAGAAGAAGGCGGAGAAAATTACATCACTCTGAATGAAAGGCTTCCAGAATTAAAGCTTTTGTTCAAGACGCATCTGTATCAAAATACGATTTAGAGGTGGAAGGATCCTTACTGAAGGAATATTGTGGTAGATTTTGTCGAAATCCTCTCCTCGAACCCTGTTCTGAAATTCTTCGCGGATTGCCAACACTTTTTGAGTGGTTCAATGAATCTCAATCCCTCGGGCCGGAATCATGGTTAATCTTTGACAGTAGTGAATCTCAAGACTAGAAAGATTTAGCCATAATGGCTCCTTTCTCTACCGTCCACTTCTCTAATACGAAAATATTAGGGTTGCAGGTGGAAGTGATGGTGGAGAGCAGAGCACTAGCGGCTGAGGAAAAATGGTGAGTTAGGTTCCGTTCGATAAAACTGAATCTGAATTTTGAAGTCTGAATTCTGAAATCTGAATACGAAAATAATTAATTTGCTGAATTTTAAGTACTGAAAAGAAATATATGAATGTCTGAATTTTAATGATAAATTTATTTATACTGTTTGATAAATATTTATAACTGAATGCTTAATAAGTTAAATTTGATAATTTTACCCTTATATCTTTTCACCCAAAAAAGAAATAGAACCTATAATTTAATTAGTTAAAAATTAGGTATGAAAATGATAATATTTATTTTTAAATCAAATTAATATAAAAGATGAATTATATTATATGAGGAGTATAGAAAAGAAGTGAAAGTCATTCAAAAGGGAGAAAAGAGAAATAGAAAATCATTAGATAGAGAATATTAGATTGTTTAATTATATAAGAATTTTGAACATAATTAATAAACAAGGGTAGATTTGGTAGATAAGATAAGGTAAGTAAAGTAAGTCTATTGATTATTATCAGAATTAAGCATTCAGTTAGGATTCTTGTGCTGAAAAAAATACACACAAGTTCAGCAAATGGATTTTCATTTATCAAACACTTAAAACATCTGAATGTCTGAAAAAGTTCAGATTTAACACTTTTTTATATTATCAAACAGACCTTTAGATAGGAAGAGAGGGGTGCCAATATCCTTGACCCAATTTTAATTTTTGACCCATACTAGATCCGCATGTGGAGCCGTTTAGTTTAGTTGTGGAATTGGAATTAGAAATCTTTTGGTTTGGTAAAGAATTCAATTCATGGAATTGGACTCCTATAGAATCCAAACAATGGAATTGGAATTAGGGCCCCAATTCCATAGGAACCAAACATACCCTAAAATTTGTTTTGCAGTAGCGGCAAAAGTTATCAGGTTTATTAATGGGTTAATGGCACGATGCACACCTGAACTATTTGCAAATTAAACTTTCCACTCTAAACTTTAATTCCACAATCAACCACCTCGTATTTTTATTTTTTTCTTTGCATGACTTAAAATCGTTAAATCTAATGGAAGAAAAAAGTGATGCAGTC